TGATAATAATACCAAACAATACCAAACCTCTTAAATTATTAATTACACATGTATGGAAACAACTAATTGCCACAGGCTTATGTGCGTGTGTGTTTATGTCAGTGTGGCTATCATCATGTAATTTCTCTGTGATGAACATGATATGTGATGAAGTTAAGGGGTGGTGAGAAATAGATGGCAACCAAAACATTAAGAACAAGATACTGATGAGAGAATTTAGGAAAAGGGAGGAAAATGTAGAGAAAAGAAAAGGCAAAAAAGGACAAAACAGTGAACCAGGTTTCAGGGCACAGTACACTGTTGCATGAATAAATTTCATGGGCAGAAGCAATTTCTCTAAGATTAGGTTGGTTTGGTAAATTTCCTGCCAGAAAAAAATGACAGAAGGCTTCACCTTTAAGTTTGTGATTTCAGTTTTCCAAAAAAGTGTATATGAGTCTTTTCGTTACAAAAGATGTGTTCATAAATTGCTACCCCCCATTGAGCTGGAGTTAAATTCCTTGTATTTTTACATACATGGCATTAAATTATATGATTGATTGACTGAATGATTTTATATAAACAATGGACATATGGACAACGGGAATTGGTTTCTAACATAAATGCCAGATAAACTAGAGAAAATGTATCCACATATATATTCATATTGAGAGGCAATGTAGCATAATACAGTAGCATTAGCCAAACTGTTATTAGTCTTCGTACTGCTCTATTTGTATCTGAAATGCACCTACTGTATCATTTAGAGCCAAATGCTGCAGTCTAATATAACAGTCCTGCAATCAATCCTCCTCCATGAAGGTAATAATGTACAGTTTTTGTTCAAACTGCTTTAGAGAGGTGTTGATTCAACTGTATGATTGTTTTGGAGGATGTAGTTTGAGCTGCTGTTGAACTGTACTGCATTATGCAGAGAGGTGTTTCAGTCTAGTCTCACTGCTATAAAAGGGGTGGACAAAATAATACATCATATGAACAGCTTCTACAGCAGTATTGTGCATGTGATGGTGGAGCTTCTGAGAGAGCAAACACTTTATTAATTATGAGCTAGTATGTTAAATTGTAGCCTTTTTCAGAACTAAAAACAAGACAGGTTTCATCAATTCAAAACAATTATCGCAACTGTGAAATTCAAATGGCAGAAATTCTATTGGACTGAAATACGTGTAACAAAGTACATTATTCCACAACAGCATGTAGTGTAATAGACAGAGGCCCAGTGTAAAATGACACTCTATTGCAGTTAGGCATGGCTTAGTATCGTGAAAGCCATTCAGCCACCGCAAATCATTCTAACAACAAATAAGACAGAAAGCAACTATTTAAAAATTCAAAATCAAAAATGTAGTTGCAAGAAAAGGTCTCTTTTGAACATCAGAATTAAACTCTTACCAGGCCACTGATGAGGTGGACCCTATGCTCATTACAGTGAGGCAAAGCAGCCAAGTTTTCTGAAATTCAGAAGGATTAGTTTGAATTCAAAGAGATGTTTACCACAGCTCTACAGTGAGCTCCAAACCCACGACTGGAGCTCGTTATGCCACAAGAAGTAGAGAAAACAGATTCACCACTGGTGAACCTGATTGTTCACCCTTCATTTTCACCAATAAGTCATTTGTGATCCTATTGATGTCATTTATTAGATGCTATGGAGGAAAGCTGAGTGATTTATCATGGGACTGGATTTTTTCCAGTCAACCTTCCTGCTGCTGATTAGTCTTCTAGGGTGATTCATTAGTCAAACTGAGACTGATGCCACTGTCTTTTCTTCTGTTCTTACTTCCCAATCAAATTCTCTGATCATACTTGTCATTTCTCACCATCAGGTTTTATGAGATCGCATCACTCTGTGTGGCTGCTTTATTGCAGTTTCCTCAAATTCACATAATGCTTCTTACCCTTTAGAAGTCTAAAGGCGCTCTTTAGAGAGAGCAGTGTTGTTGTAGCTGTTTGTTCATTTATACAAAATGTGTACTCTGTCTTTTAAAATTTCCCTCAACACGATTTGATATATAGATTTTAAAGATAACGCTATAGGAAATGCTGCTTAGCGAGTTTATATTCCTTCCCATATAATACCTACACTAGGATGACTCATATTCAAAAGCCTGTCATGCTGGCACTTGCTGGAAAGGAGAAGTTAACAGTTTCCATAGAAGCCTGCAGTATGAGCTGGGTGAAAATGAGACATGAAACCAGCTAATGGCCCCAAAAGAGGACCAAATTGTCTAAACTGATTCCCATTATTTATTCACAGTTTAACTTATTTGCTGTCCATTACTCCCAGGTGTGCAGTTAGTATGGGAGTAGTTGCTGTGTGCATTTTGTACCATAGCAGTCATGTTGCAGCTGAACAGGGAGAAACCTGTTTTTAGGCTTTATGCACTCCTATTAATGGTCTAAATGGCACAAAGTTGCTCTCTGTGGAGAAGTGTGCAGATGTAACACTGTCAAGAGTACACGGTCACCTCACTATGACCTGCCAAATTGCTGCTGTGATTCACACACATGAGGTGTATATTTTGATGTGGGCAGTTTGGAGGCTGAAAACTTTCATTTTTTTACTTGCAAATAAAATGGTTATATCATTTGAAAAAACTCTCCTTTACAACCTGCATGATTGTTTGACATGTGCTTGTTCTTACTGCCCAGTTAGTCCTAGTTTTATCAGAAATGCTGTGCTCCCTGATGCCAACATCAGTTTTTCATTTGTTACATATTTTTGGTCACTTTTCAAGACTTTATCTTGAACAACAAACCATTTTGGTGGGTAGGCTTACAACATGAGCTAATCTGATAGAAAAGGTGGCTGGAGCGACAAAGATTAATCTAAAGTTCTAATAAAATCTTACAAAGAGGACCATAAAGGGTTACATCTTGTGTGACTGTGTGTGTACAACCATACATTAAGTCCACCTCTGCCAAGGCAGTGAGTGTCCTTTCATTCTGGTTATTCTCTATAGCTGCAAATGTCATCAATACTCTTGGCTTGGTCTCTGGACTAAGTGACTTATATACCAATAAAGAAAAGAGTACACTCTAGTTGATATACACAGTCAAACTGGATACTACTGAAGATTTGGTCTCACATCAGAGCCTCCATGTTTAGAGACCACTGTTTGATGCAGAAACAGCATCTACTGTACAGGCTTCTGTGCCTGTGCTTCCCCCGGATTTTTAGATTACCTGCATGACATGTTATGTATTTAGTCCCTGGCTAGGACATTGAAGCTTTGTTTACTTTTTGTCTTCAGTCGTCTCTGAGAAACTAAAGAGTAGCTCTGGAAAGTGACGCACTGAGACGAGGCTGCTCTCATTAGGCTCAGTATCCATGAGGAGTTGGCCCAGATAAACCTGCCCAGCTAGGCTTTCCCTGAAGAGTTACAGTTACTGTGCTAGATACAGGATGCAAAACTGAGCCAGCAGAGAACAGAACAAACTTGGTGGAAAGGAAAGATATAAAGTCTGGTGTGCTTGTTTTTTTATACCTGTGGGGAATGAAAACCAGGAGCACAAATCTTTATGGGGATTCGTCTCAGCTTCTGGTCCCCATGAGGTATATCATTGCAATTTATGAAAATGATGAGGCTTAAAGTTAGACAAAAAAAAAACAAGGGTGTGTGTGTGTGTGTGTGTGCGTGTGTGAAACAATGAGACTGAGAGTGTGAGTGAGATAAAGTGTTTGTAATACTTGAGTTTCAAGAGCTACACACTTGAATGTGATTGATAAAGTGGGCTTGGCATTGTTGCCATAGTACATCCATAAGCATTTCAGCAGCAGCTTGCTGAACAGCACAATTAGTTCATTTGAAGTACTTCTAACGAACATGTTGTGAAGTATACCATTAAAACACTGAGAGTGAAGGATGCATGATGTGAAGTAAACATAAAATATGTACACAAAACCACACACTCGAACCTCAGTATACTGACAATGTGCAATGTGAAAGAGGCTACAGTTACAACATGTAATTGTATAAAATCCAGCATTTTTTTCTTTGTTTAAAGAGCATGTATAATGGCAAACAAACAAACAAACAAAAGAGCTTTGAGGTGCTTTGGGGTGATGGTGGGGGTCCTCCTCTAGTATGCTGTCAAATGTCTATACTCTGTCCATTACAAAAAGGTTAAAAAAGCCTAAATCACAAGTCCTATGGATGCAGTATACTATATCTGCATTTTGGCTGCAAAATGATACTTTTTCAGTACCATAGTTTGAGGAATATATGTTTTTTTCCTGCAAATCCATTTTGAGATTTAACAAACCAGTGTCTAATGTTGTATAGACTATTGTCTGATGCTATAGACACATTTTGATTGGTACTCAAAATGTATTTATCTTTTTTTTAGGCTGTGTTCAGACTGAGTTTCAAAGGTATGAAAAAAATGCAGCTCTTCCCATTCATTTCTATGGGGCATTGTTTTTATCGCAGCTGGCACCAGCACTGCAGGGGGCTCCAGCAAAATGACGCAGCCCCGTGTGGTGAAAAGCTGGATCTGGTTCAACTTTCACAGCACCGGACAGTGACATCATCCTGTAAAGGCACCGCATTGACAGATCTTGTACAAGGGACGGTCGGAACATGGACGTCCATGGGAAGAAGACTTTTGTTTACCTTGCTAGCATGAGGATTCACTGCTGTTCACTCTTGAATTTGGGCCACAGTTAATGCACTACAACGACACACCGTGTGTTTTCATTAATGTTTTTTATCTGTTAATGCCGACACACTGGTGGTAGAAATAGGCCACATTAGCTGCATGGCTAACGTGGAAACTAACGGGCTGGAAACGTGAATGAAGCCACTCACCTTGACTCATCACAACATGGCTGTATTGCACACACCTACAACACTCCCCCTGCAACCCCTCACCCCACAACCAATACAGCCCCCTGTGTAGGGAGTTGTGTTTTTATCAATGTTTGTCCACATATCCAGTCTCATATACAGTAAGTATTAACATAAACAACAGAGTGAGAGACAAACAGCAGGACTCACCCTGGTCTAGAGACTTGGCAGGAGCCCAGCTTTTGAAGTAGTCATCCTGCGAGGAAACACAACACAAGAAACTGTTATGAAAAAAATAACACCATGGTGAGAGTATCATTGAATTGTTTTGTAGACCAGAGAGAGAATAGCTCATATCTTAAACCAAACCACAGAGAAATCCTGCCCTCATTTTTCTCTGTTTGTTCTTTCATACTCATGTGTTGTACTGTAAAAATGAATGACTGTAGTAGAAAAGGAAAAGACACTGAGAGGTAAAACTGAGAAGTTTTGGTTTTCAAAAATAGAACAAATAAAACAGAGGAACCTGATGGAGACACTAGGGAGTAAAGACAGTTACAGGAAAAAACACTAGGACAAATCCACGTAATGTCAAGGTCAACATGGACTTTAACACTGAAGAACAGTTGAGAAAACAGTGTTGTTACTGAGGACAAGAGATACAGTAGTGCACCTTTAGCTGTTAGGACATTCTGAAAATGTGCAAATTATTCTTAATGCAGTAACATCAGTCATGAATGAAGCCTCATTAAAAAATTTAAAAAACAATGCAAGCAAATATAACTGGCTTGGCTCAGTTAAGCTTGGTTGGGAAGAGGTTTGGATTTGTTAAGCTAAATACACTTTGATCCAAAGGTTCCATTCATCTTCTGTTGTGTAAAGCAGTAAAAAAAAAAACAAGCTCAGCACTGTTTAATATTATATGGTATACCATATCTGGGTATATCATGCATAAAAGCAAAAAGCAATTTGTTAAAAATCCCAACCACATTGATGAATGCAGGAGCGGAGGAGGAGAATACTCTGCTTGCAGTGCAGCAGCAGCTACCAGTAAAAATAGCAGGAAGAAAACAGCTGTGCATGTGAGCTGATCACTTTGTTGTGTGAACAAGTTGATGCTCAAGTTGATGAAATCAGCTGATAAACAGGAAGAAATGGCCGTATGGTTCTGCCTGAACTGTGACCTCCATTTGCCAGAGACTGTCATGGTTACAGATCCCCCATGGTTACTGTAGCATTTAAATGGTATTTAACACACTATAATCAGGTTTTTAATCTCCATGAGAACATGTCTAGTGTTTACTAATGACCAGTAACTGTCAGCAATTATAATTTACATATTTTACTATACTGTCTTGTCATGCATCACCTGTTTAAATACTAGCCTCCACTCAAGGCTGCTCACATAGCTGCTGACAAATGTATTAATGATATTCTGCATTACCATATAAACCATGTTTGAAATGTTTATGGTGCTAATAAATGCTAAACAGGGGGTTTAAACCGTTACCAAATTTGGATTATTTGAGATATTTTCTTTAAAATGTGTGCTATATCTGTCCACACACACACACACACACATACGCACACACTGGTGGTGTCTGCATCTAAAGTAGTGCCCTAGAGCAAGCCATATGTGTAGCAGTAGGGGAGAAAGCCTGTGTCAGTGACACTATGTGATGCAGGCAGAGAAAACCTGCTGGGGTTGAATGCACCATCCTTTATAAGTGCTTAAAGAGAGACAGAGAGGGGGATAGACAGACACAGAGATAGCGAAAGAGGCTAAATGAGGTAGTGGTTTGGAACAGCCCACAGAAGACAGACTCACTCTTCCAGTCCTGGTTTTATAAATGACAACTTCCAACATTTGAGCCAACACAAAAGTTTGAAATGAGGAGACAAAACTTAATTAGCTTCTCCCTCAGGTCCTTACTTCACTCATTTTTCTCATATTTTATGTCCATCTTCCCTTCTCTGGCTCTATTATAAAATTATCTTTTATGGCTGTGAAAGTGCAAAGTAGGATGTTACTGCAGCAAAAGTCATTCCTGCAGAGTTCTGAGGAGCCTTCAGCATTTAGAATGAGACTGTTCTGTGCTAATACAGTGACTTCCTCTGCTTCAAACACTCCATTCTCTCCTGGTTTATAAGTATGCTGAACTATACCATGCTATGCTTGACTGGCCAACCAACCTGTGGTGCATTTAAATCAGCAACACCTCTCCAGCTCTGCAACACTGCCTTAAAGAAAGTACCAAACAAGCACTACAGTGTCTGTGGCTGGCCAAAAGATATTGCTATATGTTTCAATTTAATATTGCAAAGTTGCAAACACAATGAATGTACTTACCTCTGCTTCCTTTAAATGGTTGCAGAGAAAAGAGACAGAAGAGTAGAGGGGAGAGAAAAGAAGGAAAGAAAGGTCAGTGATAATGGCACAGTATGCTGTGTCTATCAGATCTATTACAACCTAGTGTAACTCATTCTGAATACTGAGCTCAGCTCTAGAGATTCATTTAATAGGAATCTGATTCTGAAGGTAGCAGCATACCAGAGGACTCACACATACACACGCACACTTGTGCTCACACTCAGAGCCCTACGATATAGCCTTATTTGATGTGGCATGTAATTTGAAACACATCGAGGGTGGAGTGTACAGGCTCAGAGCAGAGGGGCAGCATAAAGAAAGAGAGAGAGAGAGAAGACAAAAGGGAGGGGCAGGGAAGTTGTGCAAAAGTAGAGGCAAAAGATGTACAGGCACAGAATGTTAGTGTTTTTTTTTTATCATGCTAAATGTGAAAAGCGAAGGAGGATGTTTCTTTGAGTCAAAATGTAGTAACTACAGGTATGTGGTGAATCTACCATATTAAAACATATTATGCCATAGAAATGTAATATTTGTTATGGCAACATGTAAAACTGTCACACAGGAAAACACCACAGTAGAGCCTATGTCCAGTGAAAGCTATCTGGTGAGATCACCAAGGCTAGACTTAAATAGAGCTAAAACTAAAACTAAATTTTAATTTTAGAGCTCCATAGCTGGAATCTGTAATTAGAAAATGTCAAATGAGTTTAAGCACCATCATGCTGGATGTGTTTACTCCAGCCAAAAGTAGAAAGGAAAGATTTTTTTTTTTACTTGAGCACATTTTTACATATGAGCACATTTTCAGCTTTGAAAAGATGTGCTTTGATAATTCAAAGAGTGCCGGCAATGACATTTAAGTGCCAAACATAACTGTTTGTTGGATAAAAACTTTTGAGAGACGGCTCATGCAGTGTATAAACAAGAGCTTCTGTTCTGACACGTAAAATGATAGGCTCATTATTTAGACCAGTGTTCATGCTACTCATACTGCCTGAAACGGTTCAAGTTGACTGTTTCAGTTAAGGTTGTACAAGTCAGATGTTACAAAACTGACAAGACAAAAGGTCCATTTTTAAACCAGTTGGTCAAACAGTCTAAAAAGGTGCAACTCAAATATTTTTCTTTTCTGTTGTAGTAGTCAGATAATACAAACACTTGTTTACAACAAAAAATATAACATTCCCTGAAATGATAAATTCAGTTCAGTGGCATTTTTTTGCTGACATGTGAATTTTTTGTTATAATTTTGTACCGCATATACACATATAACAATGAAATTTCAACTCCTATTCTAAGACACTGGTTGCCATACAGATTTCTGTACCATCTGTACAATTTGCAACATGTTGGTACTTTCTGCTGAGTTAATTTTGACCTGCAGCTACGAACATGTTTTATATACAAGAGCAAGTGGTTTATGTTTTAATCAGATACAACACTGACTGTGTCCAGCAGCTGAGGTGCTGCTGCTTAAGCTGCTACAGTTCCAAGTTGTTTTTTTTTCTCCCCAGTGCTACGTAAGGTTCACACCAGTTGCTCGTGCTCTTATTATTCAGTCTAAATCTCAGGGATGACCTATCCTTGCCCAAGACCCCCATTAGTATTTTAGTGTGCTCATTTCAAAAGCATTAACTGACTGTTTAGTTCACTACAACACTGCCCCAGTGTCATTCATACCCTTCAAAGTGATTACAAGGAGATAAAACCATGCCATTATTTTTACATTGTATTTTTTGGAGGTGGTGCTGGAATTTGCAGCAGAGTTTCTCAGTGAAGTCAACTCTGTTGATTTCAAGTCTTTCTAGGATATCAGTTTAAACTGGCAAACACTCTGCAGGAGCCTGCTTACGGACAAAAATAGAAACTGTTTAATTGCATCTTTTTGGGGGGGTTTAATTAAAATCGGTTTAAAATGTAGCACAACAGCTGTCAGTGAAAATTAGATTCCTTTATTATAAAAGTGTACATGACGCAGTTTATTTAGCAGTGTCACTGTTTTAATTATGGTTAACTGACTATGCGGTATGTCTGTGTTTAAACACTTCATGTTGCAGTGAGTCATTCCTGTAGACATTGCTGATAAACAGCTTAGACGTTCAAGATAAACTAAACTGCTGTGTTCAGAGAGGTCCCCCAGAGGAAGAAAAAGGTCAGACCTGTCAACAAGGAAATGCAGTGGGAAAGCTTGAAACCAAAATTGATTATATTATTATATACTTTCTTTTTTTTGCTGCCTCCT